AACAACACATACATCTAGACACATCAACATTGCAAATGGATCGGGTGGTTGAGATCGAGGACTTGGTTGATTGCGTGTCATCATAACCAGACAACGTGGGACGTCGTTCATAATATCAATCACTGGTTTGTCTGGCTCAACTATATAAAGGTTGCTTTCATACAGATGAGTACTCCTTTAACCAACAACCAACCAGTTGTCTCCAGGTTTAGGTTAACGTAAGTTGTAACCTTCTTTCAGGAGTTCCTGAGCAAGCCCGTGAGGCGTTGAAGAATTTGGTATACGTGGTGGAGTACACGAAACACGGCGACAGCTGGACGGCAAAGGTGGAGACAGTGGGGTCCAACGAACCTAAGGTGTACTCGTGGACGCCGGGGGTGGAGTTTGAGTACGAGGGACTCGATGGCATGAAGATGAAGGTACGTATATATGAACTTTGTCACCAACTGCGCTTCTCTGTACCAATCAGGTGTGTGTGTGTGTGTGTTTTAGTGTGAGTGAGAGAGAGAGAGCCTGTGTGTGTGTGCGTGAGTGGTGTGTGTGAGTGTGCGTGTGTGTGTGTGTGCGCGCGCGCGCGCATGTGTGTGTGTGTTTAAGTGTGAGGGAGAGAGAGAGAGAGCCTGTGTGCGTGTGTACGTGTGTGTGCGCGCGCGTGTGTGTGTGTGTTTTAGTGTGAGGGAGAGAGAGAGAGATCCTGTGTGTGTGTGTGCGCTCGCGCGCGCGTGTGTGTTTTAGTGTAAGGTGCGTCTGTGTGTGTGTGTGTGTGTGTGTGCGTGTGCGTGCGCGCGTGTGTGTGTGTGTGTGTGTGTGTGTGTGTGTGTGTGTGTGTGTGACCTGACTGAAAGCCAAGTAATCTTATGGCAACTGTTATGAAACTTACCCATGGGTTTCAATTCCAATATGTATTATTCATTATGGCTGATACGGCATATTGCAGAACAACTATTTATCAAAATGAAAATATATTTGGTATAAGTTTAGTTGGCAGTGGGAACCAATACAGGATTTTCGAGATATTATAAATGTGGGCCTTGTTTCCACTTTGTTGAAATCCAAAAGCACATATATGGTGTTGACAAACCACGAAGCATAAGAAGAGCGAACTGAGATATTCGGACCAACTATGCAAGGTCCTAAGGGATACACCTACCGGGCCAGTAGAGCCCCATGAACATTGAGATACAAACATACACAATAAAACAAAAGTACAAAAGACGGTGACAGCTGGTAGGTAAAGACGGTGGGGAAGGGGTCCGAATAGGTCCTTGACCTTCTCATGGACCCCGGAGGCAGAGTTTGAGGACGAGGTACTCTGTGGAATGACGATAAAAGAAGGTATGTATGGATCGGCTTGGGCGCATGCATTCGTTGCCGGTCGCCATACCATGAGATACCATGCCGCAGTTTAACATGAATACCCCACTCAGACACAGTATACTGACTGCGAGCCGACCAGTCCTTGTTTTAGCCCCTTAATGCCGAGCGCCAGACAGGGTAACAACACCTCACTGTGAGATTTCATTTTTTTTCGGAATGATGCAAGTGGTTACGAATGCTATGATTGGGTTAGTGTTCTCTTGAGCCTCAGTTCATGCTAGTCACCACCAGTATGTCGAAGACGTTCGATTCCGATTTTCAATATGGCCGACACGGCAGCCATATTGCAAAACATCTATTTGTGGCGAGAGGTCACGAATGTTTGGTTTGGGTTAGAATTTCCTTGAATGTTGGGCGATCAAAGATAGTTAATATTTTGTCATCCTTTCATTCGAAAGAAAGTGTACGCTTTTTTATGAAGCACGACAATCAAATTCGGTAGGATATTGGGAAACACAACCACTCAAACTTCACAATTTTATATTCCTGATTACGGGGATCTGCTTTGGTTTCGTAATACCTCTATGCAGGGTAGAAGTAAGTGCTATAGTTTAATGTCGTTTGGTTAAAGACTCGGCCTGAGGATCGAACCACCGACCTACCGCTCTCCGGGCTACGTTCTATCCACTACACCAGGGAGACGGTTCTAACATGTAAGAGATCCCAAACCAGGACATGAGTTTCTAAAGGGACACTTTGTTACAGAGCACGTTTAGATGGGACGGAAGTGGATGCCAAGAGGAACATGCCTGTGGGACTGGACAGTGGACCTCGGTCAGGACTGTGGAAGGAGATTCAATGACACTGGTCAGTTAGTATAAATGCAATCTCATGAAAATCAGACCTTAGTTCTGAAGATCTGAAGACACCCCATTAAGGGTCACGTCAGAACGACCTTTCATCCGACCAATCAGTGCGTCTCTTACCAGGTTATAAAAGTGACAGTCGGAATGTGATTTCTAATCATGCAATCTCGAAAACTTTAACATAGAGTATTCCGAACGACAGTTATGGGTTGAACGACTGAATCCTTACAATCTAGACCATCGAATAGCCATTCCAGAACGTTTTTTGTTCAGGTTTCAAATTTGTAATCGAGAATTTGTCAAAATATGTTTCGAAGCGTAGTCGCCAATTTGAAATTTGTGCCGTAAAGCACGAGAAAGCTGCCTTCTGATTGGTCATTCCATTGGTCGGTCCAAGTTCGCGAAAGGTCGGTCTGACGTGACCCGTAATGGGATGTCCTCAGATCTTTGTTTAGCGATAGCGAGAACTAAGATCTGATTTTAATGAGATTGAACAACTGTTACAACATGTAGTTCCTGTGCCATCCTATCGTGCTCCTGCCCCAATGATATGGTCCCGTTTTTTTATAGTCTCAGCGCTAAGATCCTTTGTTTAACGAAGCGTTGGGTTCCACTCCTGGTTATACACTAGTCTACTTATACGTATAAAACAGGATAAGTAAGAATTGTTTTTTAATATTTCAAAACTTAATTACTTCTTTTCAGACATCGGAAAGCAAAGGAAAGTCCATGGTTCAGAAGTTTAAACGTGTCTGATGCCACCATGAAACCCTTGCCGGTCGTCATTTTGGACATTGTATCACGGGTACCTGATCATGACGTCGGTTTGAAACATCCGGTATTGTGATTGCCTGACAATACGCAATGTACACTGAGGTATAGGTGTACGCTTCAATTGCATTTGTTGCCACGACTACTGTCAGTGAATGAGCAAAAATACATCTTCGGAGTGAAGTACTTTTTTTAGCGATATCAAAAGTTCCCATTTATATCACATTGATTTTGTTTGTATTTATTTTTATTTTTTTTATCTTATCTGACATGTAAGTAAAAATAATAATAATGATAACAGATTCCGACAATTTTCTTTACGTTTACATAATATCATATATGCTGCAATAAAATAGATTAAACAAAGTATTTCATTTATTTCCTGCACACTTTTGGAAAAAGTGACGTGAAACAACTACAGCTAAGGCCTGAAATTACAGACAGTTGTTTGACGTGATGACAAAAATGAAGTAGTTGCGCATACGTTTTGACACATGTGATCACGTGACCTGCTCAGTATGCCCCTGGTGGTACAAATGTATGCTATGAATGTCACGCTAGGTATGGTGTAATATACTCGCGTCTTATGACAATCGCATAGGCGGGGTTGCCTAGAGGTTAAAGCGTTCGCTCGTCATGCTGAAGACCCAGGTTCCCCGATTCCCCAAATGGGCACAGGGGTGGTCAGGTAGCCTAATGGTTAAAGCGTTCGCTCGTCACGCCGAAGACCCGGGTTCGATTCCCGACATTGGTACAATGTGTGAAGCCCATTTCTGGTGTCCCCCGCCGCGATATTGCTGGAATATTGCCTAAAGAGGCGTAAAAATATACTCACTCACTCCCATAGTGAGGGATAGATTGGTGTTTTAAACCCCAGTCATCTCAATTTAAATCATATCATGGCGCAATCTAGTTAATCGAGTCTGGGCAAGACAAACCGGTGGTTGATAGCACGAGCAACTGCCCCGGACACACACTCACACAGTAGATACACCCGATTCCCAATAGTCGGTTCATCCTCGAACTATACACAGAATACTCTGAATGTAACGTAACCATGTTAACTTTCTTTTTATTTAGCCTACATCTGCTTTCCATATAAGAGTGAGTGAGTGTGTTGGGTTTAACGCCGCTTTTAACAGTGTTCCAGTTATATCACGGCGTGTCAGCTTCATGTGGGAGGAAAGTCCGAAGTGATGCAGGTCTCAGACGTTTACCATTTCGGTGAAACCCACGAGCACGGGTATGGTGCTGACAAACCTAGAAATATAATCGGGGTGAACCGGGATTCGAACCCACAATCATAGGTGTCTGGCGTGCCCAAGGGACGCAACTTCACCCGTGCGCCCCCCCCCCCCATTCCCCCCTACCCCCAACCCCCACCCCACCCATCCCGATATAAGATATGTTTGTCCATGGGCGTAGTGTCCTCCTCCAATATATGTTACACTGCCTTGTTTGTTGCAAAATATCGAAATCAGTTCTTATAAGAATATCATATTTACTAACCATATTCAAACAATTCTGCTGGGGTAGCCTAATGGTTAAAGCGTTAGCTCGTCAAGCCGAAGACTAGAGTTCGATTCCCAACGTGATGCTGCTGGAATATTGATAAAAGCTGCATAAAACCAAACTCACTCACTTACTTCAATAAAACCTCCCCGAAATGCTGTTTTCGACCTTTATCCACGACCAACAGATATCCTGTCAACATAACGCAGAATGTTAATCTATTGTCACTTATAATAACAACCCCCTGACCCACGGTCATAACGTGTGACAGTGTGACACGTGGACCCTCGAAAGTGAGGGGTTACAGCAACAACGCACGTGTGGAAACCGACATATCTACAAAATTTACAAAAGTAAATGTTTTCGGTGTATTCCTCAACTAACCGATTCAGGAAATTCTGTTTTCCCGGAAACAGTTCATAAACCGAGTAAACAATTCTAGAAAATATTTGTTTTAAGTAACAAGACTCCCAACATGATCTCATCACGGCAACATAGTTGAGTATGATGAACACCACATGACAACCGGAAGTAAAAGAAATCATGAATAATTCTTCCTCCGACGCTAATTTCATCTCCAGGCCTATCTAGAGTGACGAAACAACAAACCTTGAGCCTCTCAACCCGGACAGGCTGTATGATATAAATCCCGACCGCCAATATCGGCAGACATTCAGTTTCAAGTCTTACCAGACCCAACTCGCAACCTCGCGACAACTCGCGGTATCTCCTGTACAGTAGAATAATCAATTACTGTGAACTGCATCGTCTCGTGCGGCTTCAGTCATGGACCTGTATCAAGGAAGATGGGAACTGCTCCCTGACGAAACAACAGGATTTGAGGAATTCAGCGATGCTATAGGTAAGACTGTTTATAAGACGATTCTAAATTTACCAAAACAGAAAGGCGATGCCACTGACGCGCATACATTAACCCCTGAAGCATGTTTTTATCGATCGCCATTGCCCAAGTCGTGCTGACATTATGGGAGCTCAGGCGGACATCCTACGTGGACAATCGACCTGGTTGAGGTCGTGTTGAACTGTATCACATAGATAAATATGTTGCATATCAGCCTCGTGTCAAGAGATATATATATGATATCAGCTGATATAGAGAGCAGCACGGTTGACCTAGACTGGTTACGAGTCGCGCCGGCGGTAGAGGGTTATCGATCGTTCTTTGGACGAGAGATAAAGCGGGTAATAATGGCTGCTGTGTCGCAGCTGATGTGGTCAATGATGAGGAGAGGGTACTTCTATTACATTGTCAATAATTTGACAGAGCGATGTTTCTTTCATGCCCTGAACACGCACCAGCTCCGTTAATCCGTCATAGTGTGTTGTAGCCGTCACCACTCGTACTAGAAATGGTTTGTGACCCATTGGATTCCATCAATTGTTGATTGCATGTTGCATCCAAAACATGTCATAGATGAAAAAAGGTTTAATTCAGTTTATTGCATGATGTGACTTATTTCAACAACCCCGCGTAAACACAATGCCACACTCTATCCATAACTTGCACGAGTCGTTTTAGTATTGTCAGAAGTATAAATGAACTGGCAACAAAACGTGGTATAGTTTACACGTTGCTATGACAATCGCTTAAATGGACATGTGCAAACATCCATAATATATTCCACTCTATCTGATGAGTACTACTGTATAACTCGTTAAAAGAATGTACAGTCCCGATCACGTCATATATAATACATGATGTGATTTCCAATATGACGTCATGTTGATGCGATGTAAGGAGTGAATGAGTTGGGTTTAACGCCGCTTTCAACAGTATTCCAGTTATATCACGGCGTGTCAGCTTAATGTGGGAGGAAAGCCCGAAGTGATGCAGGTCTTAGACGTTTACCACTTCGTTGAAACCCACGAGCACGGGAATGATGCTGACAAACTTAGAAACATTATCGGGGCGAACCGGGAATCGAACCCACAATTTTAGGTTTCTGGCGTCCCCAAGGGACGTAACCCTGCACAGCGAATTGCGACGCTTTAGGCGACAGGGTCACCCTTTTCATCTGCGCGTCTATTAATTTTAGATTTTTTTAGCTGTTATTGGAGTTTATTTTTCGAACTGTTATTTTTCTGTTAAATATTGCTCCAGTTTCTAGGCAGGAAAAGTATCGACAATGATCTGCGGATAACGCCGCTTTTAACAGTATTCCAGTTATATCACGGCGTGTCAGCTTACTGTTGGTTTCTGGCTTGCCAAAGGGGCGCAACTCTGCACAGCGAATCTTTGTACAGTGTTGTGCTGAGATGTGTTGCTAGGATATGTAGAAGATGCGAGCTGTAATGTCGCTCTTTCTACTTGCATCTCTTTCTCGTCCTCCAATGATCAATATTTATACATCATAAACACAACAGTCAACACTGTTTACACAAACAGAAACTATTAGTGTAGGCTAAAAAGGAACTTTAAAGAAGCAGTACACATATAGGTTTGAAACAAATTCCTGTTTATCAAACAAAATGTCTATATCTATACACTAAGAAGTCATCAAACTTTAACTTTGATATAAAAATCCATTAATTCCCAAAGGAGACGAATGCTATGTTAACAAATACGTGACGTGTTTTCGTAGTCATTTCTGCTGACGTACTCAATATATAAATCAATATATATGTATGTTTGTTGTTTAACGCCACAACATTAATCAATATACACAACTGAGGCATCCCATTGGCAATAGGTGGCATTCGGTAAAAAACTATAATATCAGAATATCGTTTTCAATCTTGTCCATCACTCCTGGGAGCTGAAGTTCTGGGTTTCTCCCCGGCCGCTTTATGCTTAAAGACTATTGAAGATGGCACTTGATGTTGCCCTGTCTGGCGCTCGGCATTAAGGGGATTTAATAAGGTCTGGTGGCCTTTGAGTCCGAACACTCTGTCTGAGTGAGGTATTCGTGTAGAAACTGAAAACGCCCACATACATCAAGAATTGACCCGTGAAGATTCCGGGATAGAATAGGTCTTCAGCAACCCATGCTTGCCGTAAAAGGCGACTATGCTTGTCGTAAGAGGCGACTACCGAGATCGAGTGGTCAGGCTCGCTGACTTGGTTGATGCATGTCATCGATCCCAATTGCGTGGATCGATGCTCATGATAATAATCAGTGGATTGTCTGGTCCAGACTCGATTATTTACAGATCGCCGTCATGTAGCTGGAATATTGCTGTGTGCGGCGTCAAACAACCAACCAACATCATGAATTGCGTTGTACAATACATTGAAAGTGTAATTCCCTAATTTAGAATAACTCTAAATAAAATGCGAAACCGGGCCCAACGTTTACTTAAATAAAGATAAGGAAATTTTAGGATCAGGCCAATTTTGACGTTGGTCGGTGATGAGAGACACACCGCGCAGAAACATGTGTCCTGCTGCAGGAGTGACATGCTCCCGACGAGATTAACCAGCAGGTTTCACTCCTTGTTTTGCAAAACAATAACGCTGTCACGTATGGCTACATCAGAAGCGTCAAACAAACATACCTCACACGTGTCTTTTAACTTCGAGATCAATTGCAATATACAGTGTAGCTAAACCTGCTATAAAAGAATGAATAATATAACCGCCGGCCAAAAATCACTCTAGTTTAAAAGCTATCCGTCTATCTAACTTTAAAAAGATAGATTCATGAAGTAAAATATATTAAAAAAGTGAAATATCAACGGAATTAAAAATGCAAGTCATACAGCATCCGATATTGACATGACGGTTTCCCGAATTGGGGTGAGGTAGCAAAAACAAGCATACAACGTAATTGACAAAGGATACCAACACCTCACAACACAACTCACTCCCACATGTTTTCCTGATGCTGATTAATAGAGCTGGCTAGACTTGCTTTTTAATAATTTAATTATAAGTTAGTTCTTTTCATAAAATATATATTTATATATATTCCACAGTCATGGTGCAGGACGAGATTTTGCGGTCTGCTCACATTCCGCAGACGACACAATGCTTATTCTGACCTCATATGTCAGAGGGATACAGCACATCGATCCCAGTGGCCCACTTCTCATTATTATCAATGGATTGTCGTGTCGTGCTTCATGGAAATTATCATTGTTTGTGTTCGTTTGAGGTTAGCCATATCATATGGAGAGGTCCGCTTGAATGCCAGGTGATGTGTCGGGAAACTACTGGTGGTTGGAGTATCTATAGGACTGAAAGTTGGTCGTGCACATACACATAGAATGGACCCGTGACGATCCGGGGTAGAATAGGTCTTCAGCAACCCATGCTTGCCGTAAAAGGCGACTATGCTTGTCGTACGAGGCGACTAACGGGATCGGGTGGTCAGGCTCGCTGACTTGGTTGATGCTTGTCATCAATCCCAATCCCAATTTAGCAAAATGCAACATGGACAGACTTACAGACAGACAGACATGGACAGAATTACCATAGTCTAAGTTTTTTTGTTGAACGAAGCCTGAAGCGACTTAAGCAGTAGGATTGTCGTATCACCCATATTGTATTGATATGATTGCAACCTTTTAAGAAAGCGATCACGTTTGCTTCCCGTAAAACCATAAAAGACGACTATACGTGTCGTAAAAGGATCGGGTGGTCAGGCTCGTTGACTTGGTTGATGCATGTCATCGTATCCCAATTGCGTGCATCGATGCCGATGATGTCAAGCACTGGATTGTCTGATCCAGACTCGATTATTTACAGACCGCCGTCATATAGATATAATATTGCTGAGTGTGGCGTTAAACAACAAACAAACAAACACATAGAATGTCACAGTTGTTGAGACGGGTAAAATAAATATGTCTTCTTGCGTTTCCCATAAACCTTTTCCACATTGTCGGGAATGACATTACCAAACGCATACCCAAACATATATATTTGGTGATAGAAGGAACGTTTTTAAGATTCTTGAAGTGGCCGCTTGCACGCCATCTTCCCCAGGCAAGAGAGTTAACTGACTATAAAAGTCCAGTTTTCACCCTTGCCGAACAAGGCTGGAATTCCTGGGTTGATCGTAGCGCCACCAGTGGCTATTACTAGTTATGTCCCTTCTAAACCTCTCCTATGGACCAATCAGATTCCACCTCTCGTATCACCTGCGTTTGCTCCACACAAAATGATTGCGCCCAGTCAAGACGATCTGATCGATAATCAAGTTCTATATCGCGATGAAACGGGTCTTACATCGCGAAATGCATCAAATCACGTGAGCACCTTGATTAAAAACATGAACAGATTTGGAAAATATCCGCTGACAACGAGTTGGCGGTGCACATGCTTTGCAAATCCTGCAATCGACCGAAACCTGCACGACAGATTACGAACTGGATTTCGATTTCGGTGCGCGATTTTGATTGGACTATGCATGGACTCGTTAGCCCAGCCAAAATGTAACTCCATAATACCAGCCTAGTTCGGCAAGGGTGCAAACTGGACTTTTATAGTCAGTTTACTCTCTTGCCTCGGGAAGATGCTTGCACGCTAGTTGCAGTGATTATACCGTCAGGGTAGCGAATGTGTGACACGCTGGGAAGGAGCATGACAATTAATCATCAAAGGGCATTACCCTGATGGATGAATCGATAATCCGGATATTTAATAATCTGGATATTGGATAATCGCCCCGATTTCACTGTAAACGCTACCGCCCGGAATAACGGGGATTCGTTTTATGAGGATCGGGTGGTCAGGCTCGGGTACTTGGTTGATTGCGTGTCATCGTGACCCGACGGCGTGAGGCGTTGTTCATACTATCAATCACTGGTTTGTCTTACTCGACTTTTTGCAGGCTGCCTTCGTGTAGCTATGTATTCCATCAGCAAGTTGTATTCCTGTAGAGGTCAATGTTTACCCTTCCTCAGGATGTCCTAAGCAAGGTCGTGAGACGTTTAAGAAGTTGATATACGTGGTGGAGTACACGAAAGGCGGCGACAGCTGGCAGGCAAAGGCGGAGGTTAAGGGGTTCGGCGAGCCTAAGGAGTACTCGTGGACGCCGGGGGTGGAGTTTGAGTACGAGGGACTCGATGGCATGAAGATGAAGGTACGTATCTATCTGTTAGGGGATGCATTCGTCGCCAATCAGGCCTCTCTGTAGGATTCAGAAATGTGTGTGTTTTGGTTGTTTTTTTCCGTTTTTGCATATGCCTTTATAAGTCGTATTCTTAACCAAAGATACCATTTTATTTGTATATTTAGCACACTTGAGTCGCTATATGGCTGAAATAAAGCCGATGCGACTTTAAGTTTTAACTCACTCACGAGCACACTTGACTGAACGTGAAGTCAGCTTATGTCGTGGCCCGCTTCTTTTGGTGACTGCCATTCACCTTCTCCACAGAAATCAATGGACCAATGAAGCTGAAACTTGTCACCACCAGTACCCTCATTTGTCTTGGAGGTTCGAGTCCGATTTTCAATATGGCTGATACAACTATTTATTACCATTATTTAGCCATTTGTGTTTAAAATGGAATTATATTTGGTATAAGTTTAGTTAGCAGTGTAACACAGTACATGGTTTTCGAGATATCATAAATTTTGACCTTAGTATTTTGTCCATACTCTTCAATTCTCTCAATACGCATAATTGGTTATGTAAATATCAAATCCACTAAAATTGCCAGACTTGGGCAAGTTTCTTCTTATGATATATGACTTCATAGTTTGTCTTATCATATTATTATTATTATCATTATTATTTAGTATTATGTAGAACATATTTGAATATCAATCCCGTGACATAGTCGTATGAATAAGTGTTGACTACGTATACAGGTGAACTACAGTAACGTGAGCATAGCGTGATTGAGTAAATTGGGTTTAACACCGCTTTGAACAACATTTCAGTTATATCATGTCGTGTCAGCTTAATGTGGGATGAACCCCCGAAATAATGCAGGTTTTATACGTTTACCAATTTGTTGAAATCAAAGAGCACATGTATAGTGTTGACCATCTTTAAATGTCGTTTGGTAAGACTCAGCCAGGGAATCGAACTCCGGAACTACCGCTCACCGGGCTGACGCTCCATCCACTACACCAGGGAGACGGTTCCGTCACGTAGGCGATCACATACCAGGACATGAGTTTCTAAAGCACTTTGTTACAGAGCACGATCACGTGGGACGGAAGTGCATGTCAGGAGAAACACGCCTCTGATGCTGGAGAGTGGGCCTCGGTCAGGACTGTGGAGGGAGATTTAATGACAGTGGTCAGTTACCTAGAATGATTCAATGTCAACTTAACAGTAGCTCCTGTCCCATTAATATGCTCCCATACCTTTACAGACAGACCACTAGTGAATATCCGGGTCATTCGTCACCACTCGCCCCTTTCCGTAACCTGCAAGAAGCTATTCGGCTTGTCCCGGAATAGCACGAGTTGGTCACGAATGTATCCGGGTTAGAATTGATCTTCAGCAACCCCTGCCATTCGTCACCACTCGCCCCTTTCCGTAACCTGCAAGAAGCTATTCGGCTTGTCCCGGAATAACACGAGTTGGTCGCGAATGCAACCCCTGCTTGTTTTATGAGGCAACTAATAGCATCGGGTGGTCAGGTTCGCTGACTTGGTTGCTACATGTCATCGTATCCCATTTGCGTAGAGCGATGATCATGATGTCACTGGTTTGTCTGGTCCAGATTATTTACAGACCGCCGTAACGCTGGAATTCTACCAAACATCATTTTTGGGGAAAGCGTTGATTTCTTTAGTTTCTGAAAATGAAGAGATTCTCTGGGCTCTCTATTATATCTTTATGAAACTTACAACATTTTGCAGCAGTTTCACGAGTAGGTCAACTGACCATTATCATACTCTTGGACTATGACACGTGGTCAGCTGATACTGGCACGTGTAAGGTGCGCAACTCTGAACAACGAGCTACACGTCTCAGTCTTCTTGACCGACCTCGTCTCTTTATGACAGTGCATTGTGGCGCAATGATTGTTGTGTGAGTCAGAGCTCTGTTGATGAAGATAACTTAAGAATTGAAATCAATGTTTTTTAAAAGATAGACCGTAGAATTGGTTCCCAGTTACCTAAGACTTTTAGTTTGCCTTAAGAGGCTACTAAAACTGATGGGTCGTCGTCCCTGGTAACGTCAGATGATTGCGTGTCATCGTGACCCTATGGTGTGGATCCTTGATCATGCTTTCGATGATCGGTTGGTCTGTCGCAGACTAGCCTTGATATATACAGTAACCTACGGTTATAACGAACACGCTTATAACGAACTGACGGATATAACGAACTTACTTTTTTGGTCCCGACTATTTTCTGTAGTTATGCTGTATATATGCTTATAACGAACTACGGTTATAACGAACTAAAAGTTGTAGTCCCTTTGAGTTCGTTATAACCGTAGTTTACTGTAGCTTGAAATGGATGACTGTGCATTTAAAAACCCACTGTTAATAGATAACATATATGTATACAACAGGATGCATTAACTTTCTTCAGTACACAGTTATTTCTTTTCAGACATCGGAAAGCAAAGGAGCGTCAATGGTTCAGAAGTTTAAACGTGCCTGATGTCAGTGGAACTCCAAGCCACCATGAAACCATTGCCGGTCGCCATTTTGGAAATGGTATCATGGGTACCTGACGTCAGTTTGAAAAATACGCGACTGTGATTGCCTGACAATGCGCATGCGCAATGCGGTATAGGTGTACGCTTCATATGCAATTGTTGCCATGACTACTGTCAGTGTATGATTTGACGAGCAAAAGATACATTTTCTGAGTGCAATACTTTTATGAGCGATATCAAACTTTTATCAATTTATCTTTTTCATTTTTTATTGACATGAAATTAAATTATATAATAATATTCACACTAGGTTCGACAATTTTCTTTCGATCATTTATCACTTATTTCTTCATGTTTATTTTTCACCTGACATGAAATTAAATATATATAACAATAACGATAATAGGTTCCGGCAATTTTCTTTCATTTTACATCGATATTATATATAATGTGACAAAATAGAAATAAAATCATTTATGATTGAAAATCCATTGTCCATAAACGCTTTTGTCCGGGAGCCTTTTGAAGGGGTCACTTGCTTTTTAAAACATTTTCTTGAAATTTCAAGATATCAAGTTGAAATTTCAAGAAGCTATTTTGTAATTTCAAGACACATACGTTGAATTTTCCAGTTAAAATCTAAAAATTGAAACTTATTTCATGCAATTTCACGATCCTTATTTTGAAATTTCAGCTTAGTGTGTATCTTGAAATTGCAAATTTACAGTATCTTGAGATTTCAACTTATTTTCTTGAAATTCCAGGAAAAACACAAACAAAAATTGCCCTAAAAGACATCCTTACATTTGTAAAATGTGGCGACAAAGCATTGTGAATGCACTTGAGTTATAGCGATATGGTCATGTCTATTTTAGAGTCTTAGCCCAGAAAATGTTTGAAAGGGGGTTGAACGCTATAAGGTCATATTGTAAGAATACTTTACTTGTGACACAAGTTAAGTCTGAACAAACAGACAGCTATTTAACGTGACTGTAAAAGGAAAGTTGCAGGGCATAAGCTAAGTAACCAGGGGTCGACCCAAACGCCCTGCATCTGTGACAAGGATAGTCTTGTCGAGACGTTGTTTACCATCAACATCAACGAATGGTCGACTATAGTCTGTATGTGACAAGTTCGCAATTTGTGTCTGAGTGTGGTATTCATGTACCCTGCACAAGTCCGGACAAGTACAAGCAGCCACATCTATACTGGTCTTCAGAGGTCTACAGGTAGGTCTGCAGATGCCTTCAGATAGGTCTTCAGATAGGTGTTCATGGGTCTTCAGACGTTTTCAGATAGGTCTTCACAGGTGTTCAGAGGTGTTCAGATAGGTCATCAGAGGTCTTCAGATAGGTATTAAGATGCCTTTAGATAGGTCTCCGGATAGGTCTTCATGTGTCTTCATAAGTTTTCAGATCGGTCTTCACAGGTCTTCAGAGGTGTTCAGAAAGATCTTCAGGTGTCTTCAGGTGTCTTCAGGTGTCATCAGATGTCTTCAGATGCCTTCAGATAGGTCTTCATAGGTCTTCAGAAAGGCATTACGCCTGTTGACCTATCCGTTTCATTGAGAATAAATATTGTTTAAAACATTCCACCTCACCTCTCGCCCGCATGTCTGGTTCATCCGCTTCTCAGCTGTACTTCTACCCCGTACGAAATTATATAGTGGGCTAATTAGCCATGTCAAATATTTGAGCAATATTCCAGTAATATCACGGCGGGGGACACCAGATATGGGCTTCACACTCACGTAGGAATTGAACTCCGTGGCGTAATACTGAACTTAAGCCCAACTTAACCAATTATTGACCTCCACCACCATTTGGAATTGGGGAATGTTATCCCGAGCATTTGCAATCAAACAGCTTCATGAGTGAATGTGTTAACTTATTTGTAACCAGTGTTGGAGTGTGTTTAGTTAATCCTTAATATGTACTCACTCTTTACATGAGAACAAAAAGAATATGATAAGTGGTGAGGTTTTTATTGATGAACTGAAATCACATAGTTGGATACACTCGTTCTCTGAGGGCAGATCGGGGGATGATTAACATCCGTGACTCAAAGGTGTTCATTTAAGTTAGTGAGTATGGTTTTACGCCGCCTTTAGCAATATTCCAGCAATATCACGGCGGGGAACACCAGAAATGGGCTTAACACCTCCTCTTCATTCTAAGCTACAGTCCCAACTTGTCACATATAGACTACAGCAGTCGTTACTGACGCATTCGCCCTAATCCCCACAAGCCTGCTGGGTGAGTAGGGCGAACCCATTAACCCGCTCTCAGAAAGTTCAAGTTTACTCGACGATTGAAATTGATGATAAGACAAGCTGAATCTTGTAGGATAAAATGTCAGATTGAAGTGTCTTAGATGCTGCATTTCGTGAGATAAACTGTCAAATTAAGGTTTCTCAGCTTTTGCACTTAGTGCGATAAACTGTTCAATTGAACTTTCTTAGCTGCTGCATTTAGTAAGGTAAACTGTCAAATTGAAGTGTCTTATCTGTGTGGACGTATCGTGTTGATATACACGATTATCGACATGAATGTGAGTATAGACGGATGTGATCACGTGACCTGCTCAATATGCCCCCTGGTGGTGAGATGTATGCTATGAATGTCACGCTTGGTATGGTGTAATATCTGTAATATAGCTCGCGTCTTATATATCCGCCCTCTTTACGCTGAAGACATAAAAGGGAGACAATCGCATCTGACTTGACCATGAATGTTGTTTTGTGTAGTGTATTCCTGTAAATCACCAATACTGTGTTCGACCCCCTAAATTCAATTTACAGATTATTGAAAACATGTAAGAATTAATATTTGTTTGATAATGTAGAATATGATTATTATAAGACCATTATCTTTCGGTTACATTATGGATTTATATTTTTTCTCATTATTTTCTTTTCTGTAGTTGGTTCAGGAGAACAGCAATCCAATATCAATATTCATTATCGATTCACAAGCGATAATGGGTTTTCCTTTTGTTCACTATCACTGGTTGTGAATGTTCGAATCAAAATGTCCATATACATGTGGTGCAAGTGATGCATGTTATATATGTAGTAGGAATCCAATTTATATTTTTGTTTTTATTTTGACTTGTTTCGAACCAGTATTTTATAACGTGCCCAAATGTAACAGTTTGGAATGTTACGGAGAGTAGTACCTTACATAAAGAGTGCGTTGTTTTCTAGAAAAGCGATCCTATGTTAAAAGATGTAGTGTACTTTGTTATTCAGTATGCAGTATCATTGACACGATATACCAACCCGTGTACTTTATAACAGCTATTTCACTGTGTCGTAAATAAAACGGTGGAAATTAATAAACTATGAGTTTGGACGTGAAAATGCTTTTGTGTTTTAATTAAACAAACAACGATCAATGTCAAACGAACGAAAGGTTCTTTTATCATTGAAGGCAGAGTACAGGTACGGTTAACGTTCCTGCCGACCACGGATCCGATTCTTGGATTCCAACCCACGATCAGCGAATCAAGGCACTGCCAAGGGAGGCAACTCCACACAGACTGATACTGGAAAGGACTTGATTGTTTCCAGATGACGTGCATTTACCTGCTTGCATCATATCTGAAGCAATCGGGTTATGCCCATGTTTACTGGAATCAAATCTGTGTTTACTGAGACATACGACATGTACGTGCATCTGATCTGTGAGAGATTTACAGTATACGTTCATTATATCATTTGTGTTTACTGAGATATACGACATGTACGTGCATCTGATCTGTGAGAGATTTACAGTATACGTGCATTATATCAATTGTGTTTACTGAGATATACGACATGTACGTGCATCTGATCTGTGAGAGATTTACAGTATACGTTCATTATATCATTTGTGTTTACTGAGATATACTACATGTACGTGCATCTGATCTGTGAGAGATTTACAGTATACGTGCATTATATCAATTGTGTTTCCTGAGATATACGACATGTACGTACATCTGATCTGCGAGAGATTTACAGTATACGTTCATTATATTAATTGTGTTTCCTGAGATATACTACATGTACGTGCATCTGATCTGTGAGAGATTTACAGTATACGTTCATTATATTATTTGTGTTTACTGAGATTTAATCCAAAGTGTGCCTACATTAAATCTTTCTTTCTTATGATATACAAGGATGTATCTGAATCGGCCCTGTTGTTACCGGGATACGTGAATGAGACATATGTTTATTGTAATATATAGCGGTGTGCCTGCATCAGATTCGTTTCATACGTATACCCTGGGTTTCGTGCATTAAATCTGTGTTTACTGATATGTTGGTTGTTTAGTTGTTTAACGCCGCACTCAGCAATATTCCAACTATATGACGGCGGTCTGTAAATAATCGAGTCTGGACCAGACAATCCAGTGATTGATATCATGAGCATCGATCAACGCAATTGGGATCGATGACATGCATCAACCAAGTCAGCGAGCCTGACCACCCGATCCCGTTAGTCGCCTTTTACGACAAGCATAGTCACCTTATACGGCAAGCATGGGTTGCTGAAGACCTATTCTACCCCGGAATCTTCATGGGTCTTTACTGATATGTTCCAAGCGTTGCGTGCACCATATGTTTACTGAATATATAGTGGTAAATGGGGGGGGGGGGGGGGGGGGGGGGGGGGAGAGAGGACCTAATTTAGCGCTAAAATCGAGTTTAAATTTTTTAGCTGTGGTAACCGCATCCCCAGCCCCCCCCCCCCCCCCCCCTCCCTCCCTCTTTTTTGGAAAACCAAATGTGCTATTAATAAAATCGGTAGAATTATGTGATATATTGTGATTATATTGATATTTTGGACCCCTCCATTTTATAAATGCTGGATCCGCCCTTGCTATGCATGTCGGAACAACCCCGCGCTCCGACATATCTGTGCGATACACAATCAAAGCCACCTATCTTCAATCTCGAGGCTGCCGAGATATTTGAGAAAGACATTGTTCGAAACATTGACGCGGTAATTGTTAAAATCTGTAACGTGTTACCTTACCCTTACCCGAGCAAATATTTGTCTCTTATGACCATTGTCGCGGTATAAACAAGGTACCCGATCCCGTTATCTTTATTGACATTTCGTTAAATGGGCAGTGTTAAATTGCAGGCGGAAACGTACCAGGATTGTCTGTTAGGTTTATTATCAGAGTCATAGTTGGTTCGTGAAGCGTGAAATTACCAGGCTCACACGCCGGGGTAACGCAAACACCGTTGTATGAGTCAACTATGTTCCCGATATATTACACTGCATTAAAGAAACATTACACATTTTAGTTCTGGAAACCCAATTGGGCAGAATGTCCCCTCCCTGTGATTTTCACGATCGACGCTATTACGTATTGATAATTCATTTATATAGGGGATGTGCAGGGCAGGGTGTGGGGGTGTTTAAGCATATTTTGTGTCATATATTAAGAAAACTGTCATTTCCTTTTTTGTCCATGTCTCTTTGTCCCCCGTGAATATCCGTGTTAGAACTGGTCTAAGAGGCGACTAACGGGAACGGGTGGTCAGCCTCGCTGACTTGGTTGATGCATTTCATCGTATCCCATTTGCGTAGCTCGATGCTCATGATATCAATGACTGGAGTATTATACAGAATCGATTATTCACAATGCGCCGTCATATAACTGGAATACTCCTGTGTGCGGAATAAATAAAAAAACAAAACAATTTTGTCCATGAAAATTTACTAAATGTTGCCAGTGTTTGTTTGTTTGCAAATGGCTTTCAAATTCGATTGTAAATCAAAGATTTTTTACGTAGACAGAAATGCCATCTGGCGCATGGATAAAGTGACGCATGGGCAGGTCAAATGCAAGTCCTATCTATAACCGCCGGTCATTTTGCCTATCCGATCGTCATTTCGGCTTTGGTCATTTGCTTTTATAAGAACACCGCCTCCGTGGTCTAGTGGTAGAGCGTCCGCCCGGAGAGCGGAAGGTCCGGGGTTCGATCCGTCGTCTACGGTGCCACAAGTTTAAGGTCGTGGGCCGGGTTTAGCCTGATAATCATTCTTGGGTTTCTTTCGTGGTAGTTTTTACACCATGTCAGGTACCTAGTTTCCAAAACTCATTTGAAGTTAATTTGCATAGTTGAAGCTGTTTTTACTTTGTTGAGATTCATTTGTCGAGTGTTTAATAAAGCTGATACATCATTATGAGAGACACATAGAAACAAAACGAGGGCAAATCTAGGACTAGAAATATACTCTGGGAGAGTGTGGGATTCGAACTACGATTACAGGGTTCTGGCACAACTAAGGGAGGCGACTCTGCTCAGTGTAATTGCGATGGCTGCTGTCCTGTTTAACTCCTTCCCTACTGCCCGTGTCTTGCAACCGCGACAGTAGACTTATCTTGATGACACGACGACGTCACTGTATCCAAAAGTGACGTCAATGGCGTCAACAGTTTAGGTCACTAGTTTGTGTCATCAGTCACCAAGTGATGGTAAACAATGCGCATATCAATGTTGACGGATGTATGCTAACAGGCGGGTGACGAGATCGATGCAGATTTGCAACGAATCATCGATTGAAAAGGCATGGAGACCTAAAAACGCGTGACCAAAAACGACACCTTTCTGCACATGCCACCACTGTTATGCCATTGGTTCCGACTTAAGTGAAGCAAAATCAAATTTTGAGTGAGTAAGTGAGTTAAGATTTATAGTTACATCAGCAATATTTGAGCCATATCGTGACTAATCAAATTTTGAAATTGTACAATAACGTTAAATATCCATTTTATGGGATTTTAAGCAGCGATCGGAAGGAAAGTTCGATTGCTACCTTTAAACATTAGGTGACAAGTCATCCAGCCAAAGCTTTATGCTACTTCTCCGTTGTATACTCATAGTATGTAATGACACATCATTGACTGTCCCATTTAAAACAAAGTGGGTATGACACAGTCGCAGGTGGATATGCCACAGTAAATCCAGGCGGGTATGACAATTTCCAGACTTGGTCTGGAGTTCGTACTTAGTGCCATGTGCCCGCAGACATTGTTCCATTACTATTGGGGAATGTACTTGAACGAATACATTATGTTGTTTTGAAGTAATATTTTATTTCATACATCTGTTTCACAGTTTCCACGTAGTTTCCAAGGTAATAATAATAATAATAATAATAATAATAATAATAATAATAATAATAATAATAATAATAATAATAATATCAAATGAGACTATCCAACATTTGTGACATTACAGATTCTACTTAAAAGATTTACATGTAAAACAATATATTGACTCATGGTTATAACGAATTCAAATCAGTTTGTTAATTCGTTACCTGTATACTTTTAATTGAAAATAAATAAGCAAAAACCACAGGGGACTTTTGGCATAGTTCGTTATGACCGGCACCGAATGACAATCACCTGGATGTAAAGTTCTATATGTATACCACAGAGAATCGTCTTTCATGTGTTTCAAAATACTGACCTTGCTTTTTGGAGTTCACAGTTTCATTAAATTATTTTAGCCAATCGTCAGTATTGAGCTAGTGCTTTGCTTGATGTAATGGGCGGTAGAACTAATGTGGGCCTCCTCTTGAGCACAAATGGATTGGTATCCGTGTCTGACGAGGATATGATCTCCCTAATAAAACGTTTATCACCAGTATCAAGGTCAATTAATTTGTCCTTGACTTTCAGCTCCGGAAGTGGAGTAATCTTGACCTTTTGTATTTTGCCCTTGACATTCATCTGAATAGAAGCATCGCCCCTTGTTTCTGCACCTACGTTGTCCACAGCACCAGGCTTTCCGGCACGTCTCGTCATCTTCTTATTCTCCATGTCCTCGATACGTTTTCGAAAGAATTCCTCAACCTTCCCATTCATGGCGTCTGTATCTAAAATGGCGCCGCTATCAACACTGTCCTGCAGCAGTTTCTGCACCTTCTGCAGCCGTCTGACTTTAGGATGCTTGGACGCAATATAGGACTCCACGTCGCGGGACATCGAGTGGAGGCTGGCTCCGTCGTACCTCCCAAACATCCCTCCATCAGTCCTCCTTCTCCTCATCTCCAGGCATTTCTGTAGAACCTTCTGTCTCACCAAGGCTCTCCGGACTGTCATGGCGTTCTTCACATACTTGAACGACGTCTCGTACTTCTCGCGAGACAAGCAGCTCTCGTAAACGTCAGTTTTTGTTTTGAGAATGTCGTTAATGATACACACAAATTTTCGGTGTCGGTCTTCCTGTCTCCTGACCTGTCCATACCGTCCTTCGTCCATCGTGAAATCAAAATATTCCACACAGATCTTAAAAACGTTCCCGTAAAATAACGTTGAAAATTGACTGTCTCGACGGAAACCTGCAAGTCGTAATCTAGTCACTCGTCTGCTGCCTATGCACTAGGTGTTTTCGATCCTCCCGAACGTTCTGAAATTATTGAAAAAAATGAATGAAATTAAATCTTATCTAAACACATTTATCAGGTTTCATAAGACGTAACTAGATTCTTACTCCCGCGTTTTTTCTTGTAGCTTGAACCACTCACCACTCACTCGAACAGGTGCACGTTCAGCAATGAATTCTTGCCCTGACTAGTCAGGTAATATAGTGACGGTCGTGTATAGTGTGGTACATTGTCATTAGCGTCAACAAAAGACCCCCTATAAGTAGTGGTTGACCCTTCTGTCAACAATAATAACGTGTACCGGTTTGTTTTCCGGCCTCCGGGTGTATGCCGTAATAAAAATATTCTGCGCATGCGTAAGCACTTTATGTCAAATCTCATCAACAAATAACACCATTAAAAGTTCAAATCAACCGATGCATATATTCCCTGAATGGGAAATGTACATTTTAACTGAATATTCCACTGGCAGGTTGCCAATTAGCGAGACCGCGTCGTCTGCGCTTGTCGTCTGCCCTGCATGTGTCAATGAGCAGATGTTATCAGACGTCGAAGAAGAATAAAACCTCAATGACACAAACTCGTGCCATTCTAGGGGGTCTTAAAACTGTAAAAAAAATTACCCTCATTTGCCGACACAGCCCAACTCCGAGTCGTTGAAAAAGATGAACTTAAATTTCCGTCATGGTAAATAATTTATGTTCTGCATTCTTGACATTTCGCGGACAGAAAGCTTTGGAAATTTTCTAATCTCTAATTAATAATTATAACCCTAAGGTTATAACGTACTTGCTACCGAAAAGTTATTTCCTAACGACATTGTGTGGATATTTCTGGACTAACTGTATTGAATTTAACGCAGCGATCCTGGTTGTATAAATGTGTAGGAACGGTGACAGAACATGAGTACAGTCAAATCGTTCATTCGGTTCTCTTACAAACCCCATATATTAATACAACGGTCATCCCCATTCTTTTCTCATTGCCTTCATCTCTCGGAAGAGACTTGAGGAGTCTTTCAATACTCGCGGGTTCCCATGCAAAACATAAGTTTAGTTCTGGGACTATCTGTTCGTCTAATCGTCAGTTCACGACAGACTATAGAACTTGGTTGCTATATATAATCTCTAAGTATGAAACGTTACAGAATACGGCAATTTAAGTAAATCAGTAATACCCATTGGAGCACTTTGTTTCACCATGTATAATGTAAACTGCATTTATCAAAAGGATCTACTTGGTGTAACATGACTTGTATACAGCTGAATATTTACACGATTCAACTCTTCGTTCTAAAATGATATCGATTACATGATTTATTCATAAACACTATTTGACATTCCGCAAATGATTTGACGTCAAAGGAAAGGCAGTTCCGCGACAGAGGGATCAGCTGTGTCTACAGGCAATGGCGGAGCTCCCTAGCAAGACAACAACTCATTTAAACGTGCTTGTCAGGTGACCTCAATGACCGCTGTGACGTAGAGCTTGATATACAAGGGTATCCTGCTGCATATATATGGTATGATATATCGGTTGTATATCGTCCTCCTTGAGTGTGGGTTTCATGGGGGTGAGTGAGGCTGTCACGGCTGTTTACGTGTCTCTATGGTCGTGTGATTGTGAAGGCAGTATATAAAGCTTGTCTTTGTCTGGATCACAGGAGACATATTCAATATCACAATGGGTAATATAAACATTCTCAAGAGTCCGTTTGACGCAATAAAACATAACAGCTGCCTTTAAGGGACTGAAAATTATTAAAAAATATTGGTTGTGTGCGTGTGTGTGTATGTTTGTGTGTGTATGTGTGGGTGTCTTTGTGTGTATGTGTGCACGTGCATGTTCATACACAGCGATCATTTTGTTGTTTGCGTGTGTGTTGGGAGCAGGATACTCACACAACAGGGTTTTGTAATCTGATAATCTGAACGACCCGCAATGATTGTTTAGCTTTAGTTTAACCGTAAATAATGCTTACGCAATACAACGCCTTGTGAAAATCAAAGTCTACCGACCGAGAATATGCTGCAAACAGGAATGGCGCAAAACGTCGCCAGACATTTAATGTTCATCGAAACACAATATCATCTCTTTGAAACCGGCATCTACAGCATGGCGACACTCATGACCTGCCAGGGGCCAGTCGTCCACGTGTGGCGTCACGTCAACAAGACAACCATATTCGGTTGGTGCATCTACTGAATCGCTAAAAAAACTGCTACATTAACAGCTCGGACAACTCCTTGGTTAGGGCCAATCAGTGGCAGAAGTGCATTCAATCTGTTGAGGGTGAACAACACCCGGCACCGACATCCAGCAATATGCTCAATTTTGCTTCAACGTCACCGTCAGGCACGCCAAGATTAGTGGAGACAGCAATTGAGGTTCAGAAGACATGGCAGGGATTAGGTGTCATTTGGACAGCTCTGATGGTCGTCATCACCTTTTGAGGGAGCAAAACATTGGTGTAATGTCATGGTCGGTTGTTTCTATGGGCCTCTCCACCACATGTATGGGATGAGATAGTTCGACCAGAACCAGGACCAGGACCAGAACAAGCCGGTACCGCTAGCTCAGTTTGGCCAATCTTTGGTTGACAACATCCCCCATTGTTAATTTAGGGCGTGTCGCTCTGTCTCCTGTTCCCAGGTATGAGTTTTGTCAATGAATTGGTTTTGATAAAACATTGATTAGATGAATGACCAAACATTGTGTTGTTGTTTTCAATAACATAACATTTACACAACTTTATATGAAGCACAGTTACTTTTTCCGTTTGTACAAGAATAATACAAGTAATTTGGACCGAAGGATGATGGAAACACACATTAATACACACAACCCTTTATTTTTGTTTGAGACAATATTTTTCGATAACTGCTTTAAAAATTCATTTTTTACTCTTTTTTTCATCGCACATTTATTTTAAGATCTTTACGTCACTTTTTCAGTTTTTTTCCGGGACATTTTCTCATTTCCAGAGATTTATTACAGAAACAAGCCGTGCTGGTATTTGAACCTGAGAGTTAACTCAAATACCAGCAACGCACAAGCGATAATGTTGCCATTGCTCCTGACAACTAAATTGGGCTGTGGTTAACAGCTTTGATGAGAGGAGTATCACCAACATGTAATAGGTGAATATCACTAGCCGTGTCTTCCACCTATTGTAGCGAGTACGTGCAAGGGCCTACATGACACAGACACCCACCCTCAGACGGGCCCCCAGCATGGTGTTTAGTTACTCCCCACTTTCACGATAATTACACACTCAGCTCATGTCATTCCACTGTACAATGTACAGTGTCTCGTATTAACCTTTCACTAGAATGCCCTTGGGCACAGGGATCCGTTCGAGAGTGAGCGATTTTTGTTTTACGCCGCTTTGAACAGTATTTTCAGTTATATCACGGCGTGTCAGATTTATGTGGAGGAAAGCCCGAAGTTATCTAGGTTTTAGACGTGTGGTGACGACTAAGGGGTGTGGGGATGACAAACATCATAACACAATCAGTGCGAATCTGGGATTCGAACCTACGACCATAGGGTTCTGGCATGCCAAAGAGATGCACCTCTGCATAGCGAACAAACGTTTGGACCTGTGTCTCCGATTTCATGAATACGTGACTGTGACACTATGGGGATAAGCAGGGTCAGTATACTGTGTTGGGTACCCATGTTAAACTGCGGCATGGTATCTGAGTGAGCTTGCACTTAGACTGTCGCAAGTCAGAACAATTTCCCTTTCTCCAAGCCTTTGTTGTAATGCTGTAACCAGTAGGATGGAATGGTTATGTGACTGCGAGCGTCTATTTTGGTCCAAACAGTCCAATCTAATTTGTACCCAGTCAAGCTACTCGGATCAATGGTTTATCGTCCGTACACCCGAATCGGAGTCAAAATAACAGCATTAAAACACAGCACCCGTCTGAAGGGGATAGCGAGAGTGTGTTCAGTTCGTGTTGACTGCCAGATGCGTCAGTGTTCAGCTTGACAATGAGCCGACTCGTTATCAGGGTGGCTGCACGCTGTGGGGTAGGCTCGCTGGCTCGATAACTTGCTACAATCATGGCCTGTGGACCGTCACTGTACATTTTATAAGAAGTGATACTCAGTTTTGCTCAGGGTAACAAATAGCTATGCCACTCAACGTACCAATGTCGAACCGATGTCGATGGTCACAAAAGCATGGTGGTGGTGTTGTGTGCGTGCGCTCGTGTGCGTGTGCGTGTGCGTGTGCGTGTGCGTGTATGTGTGCGTGTGCGTGTGCATGTGCGTGTGCGTGTTTGAAGTGTATGTGGGTAGGTCTGGGTAGGTGTTTATGTCTCCAAACTTAAACAATTATTTTTTATCCCACATTGAACGGCTGAACTGCACTCTTATGACAAGTATAGGGTGTCGCGTTCTACCCTGGAATTCGCACTTGGGGTCCACATGCATGGGTCAGTTGGTCAAAACACGTCCTTGTGTTCGGTGGCGCTGCTATACAGAGACGGTATGTTACAACACTCAAAACGTGGCAAGTGGTAAATACTTGACACTGCTTACGTGATCAAACAAGACCGCACTGTCAATACTGTAATTTACTACTGAAGTATGTTGTCAATATTGACACAGTATATCAATACTGACACTAATGTAGCATTTCTCATAATAGCATGTTGAATTACATTTGTTCTCGAATTGTAAATCATCCACTGTTAATGTATTCTTTAATCCGACCCTGTTAATACGGAAACCCCGCTTTCCGGACGATTTCGATTAAAACGTTTTCAGGTATGCCAGAGACATTGAATTCGTTTTCCCGGGATTTCGCGTAGAGAGACAATGTCCGGATTAACGAGGCCTCGGTGTAGGTGTTACCTAAATTCCAATAGTATTCTCCCGTCCAAACAATATTGCCTACTTTACATATTTCTAATTTGTGCAAAACATCTGCCAGTGTGTCGACATACTTTATCCCCCGTTTGTTTCATTGGAACCTCCGGACGATTAATGCCGTGGAAGTCTTTTCAAGTTATTCCTACATACCCATTATTCGTTAATCCGGACATTTGTTAACCTGCACGGTATCACTGATAACGGTACCGTCTTAATTAACGGGTTCTGTGTATGTGAGTACTCGTTAACACTGCTCAAATCAATTACCCTTCTGACCATGTGGGTGAGTGATTTAAATGAGCTTAAAGCCGCTTTGAACAGTATTTAAGTGACATCGAGCGGACATGCTGAAAGAAAGCCCAAAATGACGCATGGCTTAGACCTTCCAGCTCGGAGAAGGTGTGTGAGTGCGTATGCGCGCGTGTGCGTGTGCGTGTGCGTGTGCGTGTGTGAAAGTGTATGTGTGTCCAGGTCGAAGGAGGTGTTGATTTCTCAAAACGTTAAGAATGAGTTTTTAATCCTACATTGAACGGCTGACCTGCTCCCTTATGAGGATTTTGGGGTTTTGCATTGCACGTTCTACCCAGGAACTCGAGGTCCACATGCATAGGTCAGTTGCAATTGGTCAAAACAACTTTGATTTATACACATCCTTGGGTGCGGGGAGGCTGCTATACAGAGGGAGTATGTTTGAAAGAAAGTCCGAAACGGCTCATGTCTAAGACCTTTGAAACCTTCCAGCTCGGAGGCGGCGATGACAAACAGACATAAGAGTGACTATGGGACTCGAACCCTCGAACAATGCATCCTGACTCACATATGGGACGCAACTCTGTATAGCAAACTGTGGCACCTTTGTTTGTTGTTTATTGCCTCGCTCAGCAATGTTCTCTTAATATGACGGCGGTCTGTAAATAATCGAGTTTGGGACAGATAAATCCGCGCATTCGGGGCACTATGACACGCAATTAACAAAATCACCGAGCCTTACCACCCGATCTATTATGTTGGCTCGTTCGACAAGTATGGGTAGCAGTGGTCCAATTCGAACCCAGAATCCCATGGAGACTCCCTGTCTGTCAGCGCCTGTCTACCTTGGTGTACCTATCAACATCTTCATATCTGTGCATCGACAAAAAAGTCTACATAACCTTCAATTCTATCAACACTTATCTATCCGTGTATCTACCAACACCTATCTATCCGTGTATCTATCAACAACTACCTACATATCCGTGTATCTATCAACACCTACCTATCCGCGTATCTATCAACACCTATCTATCCGTGTATCTATCAACACCTTCCTACCTATCCGTATATCTATCAACACCTATCTATCCGTGTATCTATCAACACCGACCTATCCGTGTATCTATCAACACCTACCTATCCTTGTATATCTATCAACACCTATCTATCAGTATATCTATCAACACCGACCTATTCGTGTATCTATCTACACCTATCTATCCGTGTATATCTTAACACCTATCTATCTGTGTATCTATCAACACCTATATTTCCGTGTATCTATCAACACCGACCTATCCGTGTATCTATCAACACATACCTATCCGTGTATCTATCAACACCGACCTATCCGTGTATCTATCAACACCGACCTATCCGTGTATCTATCAACACCGACCTATCCGCATATCTATCAACACCTATCTATCCGTGTATCTATCAACGCCTATCTATCCGCATATCTATCAACACCGACCTATTCGTATATCTATCAACACCTATCTATCCGTATATCTATCAACACCTATCGATCCGTGTATCTATCAACACCGACCTATCCGTGTATCTTTCAACACCTACCTATCCGTGTATCTATCAACACCTATCTATCAGTATATCTATCAACACCGACCTATTCGTGTATCTATCTACACCTATCTATCCGTGTATCTATTAACACCTATCTATCTGTGTATCTATCAACACCTATCTATCCGTGTATCTATCAACACCGACCTATCCGTGTATCTATCAACACCTACCTATCCGTGTATCTATCAACACCGACCTATCCGTGTATCTATCAACACATACCTATCCGTATATCTATCAACACCGACCTATCCGTGTATCTATCAACGCCTACCTATCCGTGTATCTATCTACGCCTATGTATCCGTGTATCTATCAACGCCTACCTATCCGTGTATCTATCTACGCCTACCTATCCGTGTATCTATCTCCCCTTATGTATCCGTGTATCTATCAACACCGACCTATCCGTGTATCTATCAACGCCTATGTATCCGTGTATCTATCAACACCTACCTATCCGTATATCTATCAACACCGACCTATCCGTGTATCTATCAACGCCTACCTATCCGTGTATCTATCTACACCTATGTATCCGTGTATCTATCAACGCCTACCTATCCGTGTATCTATCTACGCCTACCTATCCGTGTATCTATCTACGCCTACCTATCCGTGTATCTATCTACGCCTACCTATCCGTGTATCTATCAACACCGACCTATCCGTGTATCTATCAACACCGACCTATCCGTGTATCTATCAACACATACCTATCCGTATATCTATCAACACCGACCTATCCGTGTATCTATCAACGCCTACCTATCCGTGTATCTATCTACGCCTATGTATCCGTGTATCTATCAACGCCTACCTATCCGTGTATCTATCTACGCCTACCTATCCGTGTATCTATCTCCCCTTATGTATCCGTGTATCTATCAACACCGACCTATCCGTGTATCTATCAACGCCTATGTATCCGTGTATCTATCAACACCTACCTATCCGTATATCTATCAACACCGACCTATCCGTGTATCTATCAACGCCTACCTATCCGTGTATCTATCTACACCTATGTATCCGTGTATCTATCAACGCCTACCTATCCGTGTATCTATCTACGCCTACCTATCCGTGTATCTATCTACGCCTACCTATCCGTGTATCTATCAACACCGACCTATCCGTGTATCTATCTACGCCTACCTATCCGTGTATCTATCTACGCCTATGTATCCGTGTATCTATCTACGCCTACCTATCCGTGTATCTATCAACACCTACCTATCCGTGTATCTATCAACACCGACCTATCCGTGTATCTATCTACACCTATGTATCCGTGTATCTATCAACACCGACCTATCCGTGTATCTATCAACGCCTATGTATCCGTGTATCTATCAACACCTACCTATCCGTATATCTATCAACACCGACCTATCCGTGTATCTATCAACGCCTACCTATCCGTGTATCTATCTACACCTATGTATCCGTGTATCTATCTACGCCTACCTATCCGTGTATCTATCTACGCCTACCTATCCGTGTATCTATCAACACCGACCTATCCGTGTATCTATCTACGCCTACCTATCCGTGTATCTATCTACGCCTATGTATCCGTGTATCTATCTACGCCTATGTATCCGTGTATCTATCAACACCTACCTATCCGTGTATCTATCTACGCCTACCTATCCGTGTATCTATCTACGCCTATGTATCCGTGTATCTATCAACACCGACCTATTCGTGTATCTATCAACACCTACCTATCCGTGTATCTATCAACACCTATCTATCCGTGTATCTATCAACACCTATCTATCCGTGTATTTATCAACACCTATCTATCAGTATATCTATCAACACCTATCGATCCGTGTATCTATCAACACCTATCTATCTGTGGATCTATCAACACCTATCTATCAGTATATCTATCAACACCTATCTATCCGTGTATCTATCAACACCTATCTATCAGTATATCTATCAACACCTATCTATCCGTATATCTATCAACACCTATGTATCCGTGTATCTATCAACACCTATCTATCCGTGTATTTATCAACACCTACCTATCCGTGTATCTATCAACACCTACATGTACCTACCTATTGTTTTGCATGAAATTTCCTGTCCACCATTAACACGTCAACCACTGTACTGTATATCCTCTCGAAATCCTCACCAAGTGCAAGTAGGTCACAACGACCTCCACACATACATTACCTTCATATTTGGAGACATATATGTCTGCGTTTAAATTCAGACAGTTAATCAAACATTACGTTATCTCTAAGCTAGGATACACTGAGAGCCTATGCACCCACACCACATCTACCCCACCCCACCACACACACGCAAACTTACTGTATAGATAAGGATGCCACATGGTCCTGGGTGAAATGTATTGCCACAAATACGTACGCCCTGGCTACTGTAGGCATAATATATTGCCCGTCATGTCTTTACTGACAAATCCGCTTTGTATCATTTAATCTGCAGAAAGTTCTGTCTGCATAGCACACAGCATACATCAATGTATTAAGACCGCATTAATCATAGGGGCAGAGATAAGCGTGTGTTTAAATAAAGATACATGCCTTTGCAGTGAGTCTATATCTGTTGATTTTAATCATTAGATAACAACAAACCTAATATGTTATGGGGTACATATTTTTTGACACAATAGGGAAGATATGGTAATACTATAGCGACTGTCATGAGACGTTAACAGAAAAAAATGTAAATGTTATTTCAGGTGAGTATGTACGAGTTCGCTTGCACATTATCAATGTGTTGGAGCTACACGCTGTGCTTGGATTGAGCCCTGGGGGAGAGTACTGGGAATCGACCCTGGGGAGGATGACACGCCCAGGTGGTCATTTCATGAAGTTTCTCGGAGTAGGTTTACCCCCACGGGCCTGAGAACATAGGCATCCCGTGCAGTATTTAATCTTTAGCGACACCAACCCTGGAATCATCCATACAAAGTTTCAGCTCCATAGATTAATTGAATGTCTGAGTTTCCACGACCTTAACAATTAGACATCTTCACAGACTTTCAATGGCCGAAACAATAGTCAATCTCCAACAAATATAACAGGCTTCTGCAATAATATTAAATCCTAAATTTATTTCCATATTTCCTTGTTTTCTAATTGCCCAAAAGTACATAGCTGTGCAGAAATTATACCATCATATAAGAAAACCTGAAAAACAGCTATCGCTTTAAAGTCCGACAAGGTTGAAGTTGTCAGACCACTTTGGACTTTCTGATTTGTCAATGATGTGGTTTGATTCGTAGGTGCCGGAATACGGACATAAAAAACACGTTACTTATCTCAGACCGCTACCAGCGATGGGGGGTTAATACCGACATCAGATACCGCCTTTTCTCTCTCCAACCCATAGTCACCATCATTAACAGACACGTGACATGTTCACTGAGGACAACATTGTCAGACGGGGCACAGATCAATGTCCAAGACTCGATACTCGCAGATCCGGTATTTCCTCTAATGACACCTATGGATATCAAAGAAGTGTATCGAAAGTCGATAATTAAGCACTGATCGAACTATTACTTCTGTTCAAGAAAGGCGATGGTCTAGCCCAGTGGTAAAAAACGTTCGCTCGTCAATGCGAAGGCCCAGGTTCGATTCCCGACATGGAGACAATGTGTGAAGCCAATTCCTGCTGTACTGTCGTGAGGATGGGTCAAAATAGAACCTCTGTTTTAAAAAGAGCATGACGCTGTAGCACAATTATTCCAACAAAGTTAAATAGTATGTTTCATAAATATATTTTCAAACCTCCTTGTCAGAATCATGAGATCTGATTGGTTCATGTGATTTTGATAAAATACTTTATCATACCTCCATGTCAGAATAATGAGATCTGATTGGTCCACGTGATCTTGATAAAACATTGTGTTACCCGCCTTGGAGGGTAATACATTTCTCAGCCGAGAAATAAATCTCTTATACCCCGCCACGAGCACTACAGGCTGCAAGTGCATTTCTGAGAGACGTGACATAGCACCAGCTAAGCTCAGCTCAAACGAGCAGCTGTTTTCTATCAATTTTGAATTTATTTGAATTTTTTTACAATGTCTTATTTCAACATATCGGTAAGATAAATTCGTTGTAGCAGGATCACGAGGGGTACATGCTACAACTTATAATGTATCCCGCCCTGGAGGGAAATCTATATCTCATCTGGAGCATAAATTCCGTATATCCCGCCACGAACAAAACTTTTTGCGCGTGGATTTCTGAGAGGAAGAATAAATCCCTTTTAGCCCGCTTCGAAGCCAAAACCCTCACGCTTTTTCCGAGTCAAAGAAAGTCACGTGACATAGCGCATGTTAACCACAGCTCAATCGAACAGCCGTGTTCTATCAATTTTGAATTTCAAAAGGGACACATTTTATGAACAACATCTTCTTATTTACTGTAAAGGCGACTTTTCTGTATATATCCTTATACCGCTGTCAAGCAAGGTATAAGCTGTCAGCCTTGTTTGACAACGTTATAAGAATCTATACGAAAACGTCGCCTTTACTGTAAATAAAGAAGATTTTCTCCATACATTGTGTCCACTTTGTCATCCGTCAACCTCTAAGTAATGCCTATCAAATGAACCCGTGAAGATCCGGGGTAGAATAGGTCTTCAGCAACCCATGCTTGCGGCAAAAGGCGACTATGCTTGTCGTAAGAGGCGACTACCGGGATCGGGTGGTCAGGCTCGCTGACTTGGTTGAAGCATGTCATCGATCCCAATTGCGTAGATCGGTGCTCCTGATGTTAATCACTGGAGTGTCTGGTCCAGACTTGATTATTTACAGACCGCCGTCACATAGTTGGAATATTGCTGAGTGCGGCGTTAAACATCAAACAAACAAAACGAAATCAAATTAATACATCCATACAATGTTAAAGAAGACAATAATGCGTCGCTCTAACAAATACTTCCTTACAATGTCAAAGTCGACAATGATGCGTCGCTGTAACAAATACTTCCTTACAATGTCAAAGTAGACATGGATGCGTCGCTGTAACAAATACTTCATTACAATGTCAAAGTAGACAATGATGCGTCGCTGTAACAAATACTTCCTCACAATGTCAAAGTAGACATGGATGCGTCGCTGTAACAAATACTTCATTACAATGTCAAAGTAGACAATGATGCGTCGCTCTAACAAATACTTCCTTATAATGTCAAAGTAGGCAATGATGCGTCGCTGTAACAAATACTTCCTTACAATGTCAAAGTAGACAATGATGCGTCGCTCGAACAAATACTTCCTCACAATGTCAAAGTAGACAATGATGCGTCGCTGTAACAAATACTTCCTTACAATGTCAAAGTAGACAATGATGCATCGCTGTAACAAATACTTCCTTACAATGTCAAAGTAGACATGGATGCGTCGCTGTAACAAATACTTCCTTACAATGTCAAAGTAGACATGGATGCGTCGCTCTAACAAATACTTCCTTACAATGTCAAAGTAGACAATGATGCGTCGCTGTAACAAATACTTCCTTACAATGTCAAAGTAGACAATGATGCGTCGCTCTAACAAATACTTCCTTACAATGTCAAAGTAGACAATGATGCGCCGCTGTAACAAATACTTCCTTATAATGTCAAAGTAGACAATGATGCGTCGCTGTAACAAATACTTCCTTACAATGTCAAAGTAGACATGGATGCGCCGCTGTAACAAATACTTCCTTACAATGTCAAAGTACACAATGATGCGTCGCTCTAACAAATACTTCCTTACAATGTCAAAGTAGACAATGATGCGTCGCTCTAACAAATTCTTCCTTACAATGTCAAAGTAGAAAATGATGCATCGCTGTAACAAATATTTCCCTACAATGTCAAAGTAGACAATGATGCGTCGCTGTAACAAATACTTCATTACAATGTCAAAGTAGACATGGATGCGTCGCTGTCACAAATACTTCCTTACAATGTCAAAGTAGACAATGATGCGTCGCTCGAACAAATACTTCATTACAATGTCAAAGTAGACAATGATGCGTTGCTGTAACAAATACTTCATTACAATGTCAAAGTAGAAAATGATGCGTCGCTGTAACAAATATTTCCTTACAATGTCAAAGTAGACAATGATGCGTCGCTGTAACAAATACTTCCTTACAATGTCAAAGTAGACATGGATGCGTCGCTGTCACAAATACTTCCTTACAATGTCAAAGTAGACAATGATGCGTCGCTGTAACAAATACTTCCTTACAATGTCAAAGTAGACAATGATGCGTTGCTGTAACAAATACTTCCTTACAATGTCAAAGTAGACAATGATGCGTCGCTGTAACAAATACTTCCTTACAATGTCAAGGTAGACCATGATGCGTCGTTGTAACAAATACTTCCTTACAATGTCAAAGTAGACATGGATGCGTCGCTGTAACAAATACTTCCTTACAATGTTAAAGTAGACAATGATGCGCCGCTGTAACAAATACTTCCTTACAATGTCAAAGTAGACAATGATACGTCTCTGTAACAAATACTTCATTACAATGTCAAAGTAGACAATGATGCGTCGCTCTAACAAATACTTCCTCACAATGTCAAAGTAGACATGGATGCGTCGCTGTAACAAATACTTCATTACAATGTCAAAGTAGACAATGACGCGTCGCTCTAACAAATACTTCCTTATAATGTCAAAGTAGGCAATGATGCGTCGCTGTAACAAATACTTCCTTACAATGTCAAAGTAGACAATGATGCGTCGCTCTAACAAGTACTTCCTTACAATGTCAAAGTAGACATGGATGCGTCGCTCGAACAAATACTTCCTCACAATGTCAAAGTAGACAATGATGCGTCGCTGTAACAAATACTTCCTTACAATGTCAAAGTAGACAATGATGCGTCGCTGTAACAAATACTTCCTTACAATGTCAAAGTAGACATGGATGCGTCGCTGTAACAAATACTTCCTTACAATGTCAAAGTACACAATGATGCGTTGCTCTAACAAATACTTCCTTACAATGTCAAAGTAGACAATGATGCGTCGCTGTAACAAATACTTCCTTACAATGTCAAAGTAGACATGGATGCGTCGCTCTAACAAATACTTCCTTACAATGTCAAAGTAGACAATGATGCGTTGCTGTAACAAATACTTCCTTACAATGTCAAAGTAGACAATGATGCATCGCTGTAACAAATACTTCCTTACAATGTCAAAGTAGACAATGATGCGCCGCTGTAACAAATACTTCCTTATAATGTCAAAGTAGACAATGATGCGTCGCTGTAACAAATACTTCCTTACAATGTCAAA